TGTTACTGAGGGACACAGAATTACTGAGGGACACAGAATTGTTACTGAGGACACAGAAATTGTTACTGAGGGACACAGAATTGTTACTTAGGGACACAGAATTGTTAGGGCTCAGAATTGTTACTGAGGGACACAGAATTGTTACTCAGGGACACAGAATTGTTACTCAGGGACACAGAATTTGTTACTCAGGGACAGACACAGAATTGTTACTCAGGGACACAGAATTGTTACTCAGGGACACACAGAATTGTTACTCAGGGACACAGAATTGTTACTGAGGGACACAGAATTGTTACTGAGGGACACAGAATTGTTACTCAGGGACAGGACACAGAATTGTTACTCAGGGACACACAGAATTGTTACTGAGGGACACAGAATTGTTACTGAGGGACACAGAATTGTTACTTACAGGGACACACAGAATTGTTACTGAGGGACACAGAATTGTTACTCAGGGACAGACACAGAATTGTTACTCAGGGACAGACACAGAATTGTTACTCAGGGACAGACACAGAATTGTTACTGAGGGACACAGAATTGTTACTGAGGGACACAGAATTGTTACTCAGGGACACAGAATTGTTACTGAGGGACACAGAATTGTTACTGAGGGACACAGAATTGTTACTCAGGGACAGACACAGAATTGTTACTCAGGGACAGACACAGAATTGTTACTGAGGGACACAGAATTGTTACTGAGGGACACAGAATTGTTACTGAGGGACACAGAATTGTTACTCAGGGACACACAGAATTGTTACTGAGGGACACAGAATTGTTACTGAGGGACACAGAATTGTTACTGAGGGACACAGAATTGTTACTCAGAGGGACACACAGAATTGTTACTCAGGGACACACAGAATTGTTACTCAGGGACACAGAATTGTTACTGAGGGACACAGAATTGTTACTGAGGGACACAGAAATTGTTACTGAGGGACACAGAATTGTTACTCAGGGACACAGAATTGTTACTGAGGGACACAGAATTGTTACTCAGGGACAGACACAGAATTGTTACTCAGGGACACAGAATTGTTACTCAGGACACAGAATTGTTACTCAGGGACACAGAATCGTTTAATTAAAGAGTATGTCAGACAACATGCAGAGGAGTGGCAGAGGAGGCAATGTTTTAGGAGCGAGCAGACGTGGCAGCAGAGGAAGGGGTCGAGGCAGCACTAGTCGCAGCCAGAGGCCAGTGCTCCCGGTGTCATCCAGCGGTCGTGTCTCCACCGACAACCCTGCCGTCATCGATTGGTTGGCTCGGTCGTCTTCCTCTTCCCAGGTCACCTCTGACACCTACAGCCAACGGTCGGTGGGTACGTCAGACACAACCGTTAGTTGGCATGGCCCGGGAGCAAGCCCACTGAAATCACGTGTCCTCTACCTGCCCCTGTCCTTTGGTGTTCCCTCACCAAGCGAAGTATCGCATGCTGTGGGCTCAGCCCCACTGTACAGTGAGGAAGAGCTAACAGAGGGCGGTCAGGAACGGGGGGAGACATCCGCCTCTTCAGCAGCCAGGCGAAGAAGTAGTGGCGAGGAGAGTGGCTCGGTAGCCGGTCTAGAGACAGGTCTGTCTCCTGACCCACACGCAGCCGAGGGGGCTAGTAGTGAGGCGGAGACCCTAATTGATGATGATGAGGCTGATCGCACTTGGCAGCCTCGTCGTCATCAGGCTATTGCTTCCGCATCATCAGGAGAAGAGGGTGGCAGCTTGGCAGCGAGCAAAACAGTCGGTGGGTTGCCCAGGAGGCAGCAGGGGTCGCAGCAGTGTCAGTGGAGGCAAACGGCCACGGAGTACAGCACCAGCTCCACTGCAGCCTACCACCACGGCCAGTAGTGGTGCCGGTGTGCACGGAGGAAGCAGCAGTCAGCCAGTGAGGAGTATCGGGGGCAAAGTTTCCTACTCGGCGTGGTGTGGCAATTTTTTGTCAAGCCGCCCGAGGAAGTAAACGTAGCCGTATGTCGACTATGTGGCCAGAAAGTCAAGCGTGGCCAGGGGGCCCATGTTGGGACTACAGCGTTGCGGCAGCATATGCAGCGTCGCCATTTGGTGGCCTGGGAAAACCGTGATAAAGATACGGCGGTTCTGCCTGCCCCAGCCCCCGCTCCATCACCCGCTCCGTTACTTGCTCCGTCACCCGACGTCAATCGCCCTCTATCAGCCAGTCAAGGCTCCAACACCTCTGCTGAGGGGAGTTGTCGCTCGTTGGCATCTTCCGCTCGTTCAGATGCTCCTTCTCCTGCTACTCCTCTTCACGGATTCCGTCAGCAGTCTTTCTTGGAATCCGTTTCCAAGAGACAACAGTTTGCGAGCACGCACCCGACGGTGCAAAAGCTGAACGTCCTCCTGTCCAAGTTGCTGGTGCTGCAGTCCCTCCCTTTCCAAGTGGTGGACTCAGCACCTTTCCGAGAAATGATGGCTTGTGCCGCGCCGCGGTGGAGAGTGCCAAGCCATCATTCTTCGCCAAAAAGGCAGTGCCAGCCCTGCATTCACATGTAGAAGAGATGGTGGGCCAGTCTTTGAGCATGTCGGTCTCTGCCAAAGTGCACGGCAGCGCCGACGTGTGGAGCTGTAACTACGGTCAGGGACAGTACATGTCATTTACGGCCCACTGGGTGAACGTGGTGCCGTCACAGCCGCACCAGCAACTTGGACAGGTCACGCCGCTTTTGCCTCCACGTTTGCACGTCCTTGGTCCACAAAGATGTCCGCCTCTACCACCTCTTCTTCCGCCGTGTCCTCAGCCGCCACCCCCGTGCCAAGTCCCATTACCCGACCGGCATATCACATGTGCAGGGCGCAACGGTGTCACGCTGTGCTGCACCTGGTATGCCTTGGCGAACGTAGTCACACAGGGGAGGAACTTCTCAGTGTAATGAACAGAGAAATCGACAGATGGCTGTCTCCGCGCAAACTGAAAATCGGAACCATGTTGACCGACAACGAAAGAACATGGTGTCTGCTCTGCGTCAAGGAAGGTTGTGCCATGCGCCATGCATGGCTCACGTGTTCAATCTGGTTGTCAAGCGGTTCCTAAAATCCACCATCCCACTGCAAGACATCCTTAAAATGTCACGTAAACTTTGCATGCATTTCAGCCATTCCTACACCGCAAAGCACACCCTCCTTGAGCTGCAGCGGCAGAACGGAATTCCACAGCATCGCCTGATCTGCGACGTTGCAACAAGGTGGAATTCAACCCTACACATGTTAGACCGCCTTTACGAACAGCGAAAGGCCATCACCGATTTCCTGATGTTACAAGCGGATAAAGGTACTCCCCTGTGTAACTTCGATGTCAGCCATTGGCAGCTCATGCGTGACACCTGCCGCTTGCTCAGGCCCTTTGAGGAGGCCACGCTATTCGTGAGTCGGCAGGACTATGGGATGAACGACGTCATTCCTCTGTTGCACGTCCTGGAACAAATGCTGTTAACAATGGCTGGTCAGGGTGCGGTAGACGTGGCGCACAGATCTCAACGCCACATGACCCCTGTGGGGGCAGGACAGGAAGAAGAGGAGGAGGTAGAGGAGGACATTTGTGCTCAGGAATTATTGAGTGAAATGGGTGGTTTTTCCACTCAGCGGACAGGAGTGGAGGAGCAGGAGCATCTGGTAGAGGAGGAGGAGGAGGAGACAGAGGACCCAGACGCACCGTGGCAGTATGCTGTGGAGATGGAGGCAGGGAGTCCCTCGCATTCCTTGGCACAAATGGCCCATAGCATGCTCGCTTGCTTGCGTAGCGACAGCCGAATAATAACCATCAGACAGAGGGATGACTTTTGGCTGTCCACCTTGTTGGACCCTCGCTACCGTTCAAAAATGGTGGCCTTTTTCACACCTGCTGAGAGGGAGGCCAAAATAACGTACTATAAAAACCACCTATGTAGTCAGTTGGTCTCTGCCTTTCTGCGCCAACGTCCATCCTCAGACACTGTGGGCCCTGTGCGCTCGCGCGTTCCGCTGCCATGGCAGCAGGGGAGGGGTGGGGGGGTAGGAGCAGTGGCAGCTCCACCAGCAGCGGCTGCCTCAGTCTGCAGTCGATGATGAGTAGCTTTCTTCACCAGCGCAGTGAGGAAACTACTAACCAGCCGCAGCAGCAGCAGCAGCATCAGGTGGACCTGGAGCAGGACCTCAAACAACAGGCTTGGGCCTACTTGGACAGCACCCTGCCAACCGAGGTAGACAATCCCCTTGACTACTGGGCAACGAAACTTGACCTTTGGCCCCAACTAGCTGAAATTTGCCCTTGAAAGGCTGTCATGCCCGGCCAGTAGCGTGGCATCGGAGCGCGTGTTTTAGTGCGGCAGGAGGTATTGTAACTCCGCGGAGGACACGACTGTCCACCCAAAGTGTGGAGAGACTCACGTTTGTGAAAATGAATCAGGCGTGGATTAGTCTGGATTTCAAACCACCAGTTCCTGACACAACTGACTAAATCCGCCATGAATCATGCCCCAAACATGTGCCACTTTCAGGTCTCCTCACACTGCTGGTGTGTTCCATTTTTTGTCATAGGGTGCTGGCAGATTACGGGCCTCCCATTGCTGCTGCCAGGCCCCTAATCTGCCATGGGCCCCTGTACCGCCTCCTCATGCTGCTGCCAGGTCCAGAGTGTGTCATGGGTCCCTGTACGGCCTCCCATTGCTGCTGTCTCCATCGCCACACTCTGCCATGTGCCACTTTCAGGTCTCCTCACACACTGCTGGTGTGTTCCATTTTTTGTCATAGGGTGCTGGCAGATTACGGGCCTCCCATAGCTGCTGCCAGGCCCCTAATCTGCCATGGGCCCCTGTACCGCCTCCTCATGCTGCTGCCCAGGTCCATGGGTCACAGTGCTGTCTCATGCCATGTGCCACTTTCAGGTCTCCTCACACTGCTGTTGTGTTCCATTTTTGTCATAGGGTGCTGGCAGATTACGGGCCTCCCATTGCTGCTGCCAGGCCCCTAATCTGCCATGGGCCCCTGTACCGCCTCTTCATGCTGCTGCCAGGTCCAGAGTCTCTCATGGGTCCCTGTACGGCCTCCCATTGCTGCTGTCTCCATCGCCACACTCTGCCATGTGCCACTTTCAGGTCTCCTCACACACTGCTGGTGTGTTCCATTTTTTGTCATAGGGTGCTGGCAGATTACGGGCCTCCCATAGCTGCTGCCAGGCCCCTAATCTGCCATGGGCCCCTGTACCGCCTCCTCATGCCATGTGCTGCTGTCATGGGTCCAGGCCTCCCCTACAGTGTCTCATGCTGCCATGCCATGTGCCACTTTCAGGTCTCCTCACACTGCTGGTGTGTTCCATTTTTTGTCATAGGGTGCTGGCAGATTACGGGCCTCCCATTGCTGCTGCCAGGCCCCTAATCTGCCATGGGCCCCTGTACCGCCTCTTCATGCTGCTGCCAGGTCCAGAGTGTGTCATGGTCCCTGTACGGCCTCCCATTGCTGCTGCTCCAGGCAGCAGGGTCGCAGCAGTGTCAGTGGAGGCAAATGGCCACGGAGTAGAGCACCAGCTCCACTGCAGCCTACCACCACCACGGCCAGTAGTGGTGCCGGTGTGCACGGAGGAAGTAGCAGTCAGCCAGTGAGGAGTAGCGGGGGCAAAGTTTCCTACTCGGCGGTGTGGCAATTTTTCGTCAAGCCGCCCGAGGAAGTAAACGTAGCCATATGTCGACTATGTGGCCAGAAAGTCAAGCGTGGCCAGGGGGCCCATGTTGGGACTACAGCGTTGCGTCAGCATATGCAGCGTCCCCATTCGGTGGCCTGGGAAAACCGTGATAAAGATACGGCGGTTCTGCCTGCCCCAGCCCAGGGTTCCATTTTGTCATAGGGTGCTGGCAGATTACGGGCCTCCCATTGCTGCTGCCAGGCCTTAATCTGCCATGGGCCCCTGTACCGCCTCCTCCTCATGCTGCTGCCAGGTCCACAGTGTCTCATGGGTCCCTGAACCGCCTCCCATTGCTGCTGTCTCCATCGCCACACTCTGCCATGTGCCACTTTCAGGTCTCCTCACACTGCTGGTGTGTTACATTTTTTGTCATAGGGTGCTGGCAGATTACGGGCCTCCCATTGCTGCTGCCAGGCCCGTAATCTGCCATGGGCCCCTCAGTACCGCCTCCTCATGCTGCTGCCAGGTCCACAGTCTCTCATGGGTCCCTGTACGGCCTCCCATTGCTGCTGTCTCCATCGCCACACTCTGCCATGTGCCACTTTCAGGTCTCCTCACACTGCTGGTGGGTTCCATTTTTTGTCATAGGGTGCTGGCAGATTACGGGCCTCCCATAGCTGCTGCCAGGCCCCTAATCTGCCATGGGCCCCTGTACCGCCTCCTCATGCTGCTGCCAGGTCCAGAGTCTCTCATGGGTCCCTGTACGGCCTCCCATTGCTGCTGTCTCCATCGCCACACTCTGCCATGTGCCACTTTCAGGTCTCCTCACACACTGCTGGTGTGTTCCATTTTTTGTCATAGGGTGCTGGCAGATTACGGGCCTCCCATTGCTGCTGCCAGGCCCGTAATCTGCCATGGGCCCCCGTACCGACTCCTCATGCTGCTGCCAGGCCCGTAATCTGTCATGGGCCCCTGTTGTCGCTTGTTGGCATATTCCGCTCGTTCAGATGCTCCTTCTCCTGCTACTCCTCTTCACGGATTCCGTCAGCAGTCTTTCTTGGAATCCGTTTCCAAGAGACAACAGTTTGCGAGCACGCACCCGACGGTGCAGAAGCTGAACGTCCTCCTGTCCAAGTTGCTGCTGCCAGGCTCGTAATCTGTCATGCGCCCCTGTACCGCCTCCTCATGCTGCTGCCAGGTCCAGAGTGTGTCATGGGCCCCCGTACCGACTCCTCATGCTGCTGCCAGGCCCGTAATCTGTCATGGGCCCCTGTACCGCCTCCTCATGCTGCTGCCAGGTCCAGAGTGTGTCATGGGTCCCTGTACGGCCTCCCATTGCTGCTGCCAGGCCCGTAATCTGCCATGGGCCCCCGTACCAACTCCTCATGCTGCTGCCAGGCCCGTAATCTGTCATGGGCCCCTGTACCGCCTCCTCATGCTGCTGCCAGGTCCAGAGAGTGTCATGGGTCCATGTACGGCCTCCCATTGCTGCTGTCTCCATCGCCACACTCTGCCATGTGCCACTTTCAGGTCTCCTCACACTTCTGGTGGTTTCCATTTTTGTCATAGGGTGCTGTATGGCCTCCCATTGCTGCTGCCTCCACCGCCACACTGTGGCTCCACACTCTGGTTTTGGCCCCGTGACTGCCCAAATGAGTGAAGTGTGCGGTGATTCTAAGATCGACGGCACTCATCTGCATGTCATACTGACTGTCAGTATTATTTCTCTTCCCCAGCAGACTCCAAGGGCATTTAAATTAAAGGTACAGTGTTCTGCACTAATATAAAGGCTCTCTGAAGCCTAGAAACACCCTTTTATAAGTTAAATTCGCAGCGAATATATTCGACTCGAATAGAAATTTTTTCACGAATTCGCCGAATCAGTCGAATCGAATTTTTGAATAATTCGCTCATCTCTAGTCATAACAATGATATAATGTGGATAGCAGGGGAAAAACTAGATGCTTATAACACGAAACTAGGCATTGGTGAGGAAAATGTCTATGTATAAAGTTAGTGAGCAAATCTCAAACAAATATATAAGAACAAACCATAGATTGTCCCTCTGGGAGAGCCAAAAAGAGGAAGGGAAAACAAGAAAGAGAAAAAATAAAAAAAAAAAGGGGACAAGTGGATAAAAGGAGCATGAGATAGAAACAAAGGGAGGACATCAAGAGCATCAGAGCTTGAGCTGTAGGGTCTCTATATTTATAGCAACGTAAAACTGGCCTTTGATATAGAAGGATGGGCATGATGGATCCACGGAGTCCATATTTTAAAGAATTTCTCATGGGTGTCAAAAGGAATGCTAGAAAGCTTTTCATTAACCAAAAAGAAATCTAGGTGGCGGTGAACTTCCGTGCAAGGAGTGAACTGTTGTTTCCAGGTATTCGCTATGGTTTGTTTTGCCACCAGTAATACTTAGGTAGCCAGTTTAAATTGGTATTTGGTGAGACTTGGGGGTTTCAGGTGCAGAAGGACATGCCAGGGATCCCTTGGGAAGGAACAAGAAAATAAAGATTGCAAGAGTTTAAATACCTTTGTCCAGAACCAGAAGAGTATAGGACATGTCCACCATACATGAAGAACGTCTCCCGCAGTAGGGCATCCCCAGAAACAAGTGCTGGGGGCTGTGAGGTGAAGGTGTACCAGGCAGGAGGGAGCCAGATACCATCTCGTGACAGTTTTAAAGGCTGATTCAATAGAGAGAATGTTGATAGACAGGAAGTCAAGGTGGTCCAAATTTGTGCCCAGCAGCTCCTAACTTTAGTGCTTTTGAGGTCCCTTTCCAACCTGGAAACATGAGGGTGATTGTTTGGATTGTGAAGGTTGTTCAACTGTGAATAAAAAATTGCTATAAGCTTGGGGGAAAAAGGAGTCCAATGACAAATATGTTCGAATAAGGACAGTTGAGTGGTTGGGTCTTTATCAGCGGGCACCAAGGTCAGCCAGTGTTTAATTTGTAGGAATCTGAAAATGTCAGTGTGAGGAGCTTGATATTTATCTCTTATTTATGCCTAGGTGTAAATAGAATGACCAGTAAGAAAGGAATGGACACAATGAAAATTGTGGTAAGCCCACCAGTGGAAGGAGCTAGGGGACTCAAGGTCTGGAGAGAACAGAGGATTGCCTAAATGAGGGAGAAGTGGTAGGTGAGGAGAAAGTAGACCACTAGAGTATTTAGTGGAGTCCCATACTCTTAACAAGTGAAACAATAAGGAGCTAATGGTTGTCGGCCTAGATTGTGGAGGAAGCCATAAAAGTGAACAAAGGGAGACCGGAAAGCAAGAGAGTGCTTCCAAAGTAACCCATGTAGGGGCTTGCTGTGTAGCATATAGAGAGGTCATAGATGCGATTTCAGCCACTACATAGTACTTGGAAAAGTTAGGAACCCCCAGTCCCCCTTGTTTCCTGTGTATGAGCATGGTATGCTTGGTGACCCGAGGTCTTTTGTTAAACCAAATAAATCTCAAAACAGAATTTTGAAATGACTTAAGGGCATAAGAGGGGACAGGAACAGGGAGAGTTTGAAATAGATATATACAGTGCATATCCAGAAAGTATTCACAGTGCTTAACTTTTGCCACATTTTGTTATGTTGCAGCCTTATTCCAAAATGGAACAATACCCCATAATGACAATGTGAAAGAAGTTTGTTTTGAAATCTTTGCAATTTATTAAAAAAAAACAACAAAAATAAACACATGTACATAAGTATTCACAGCCTTTGCCATGACACTCAAAATTGAGCTCTGGTGCATCCTGTTCCCACTGATCATCCTTGAGATGTTGACACAACTTGATTGGAGTCCACCTGTGGGAAATTCAGTTGATTGGACATGGTTCCACAATTAACAGTGCATGTCAGAGCAGAAACCAAGCCATGAAGTCCAAGGAATTATCCGTAGACCTCCGAGACAGGATTGTATCAATGCACAGATCTGGGGAAAGGTACGAAAAAATTTCTGCAGTATTGAAGGTCCCAATGAGCACAGTGGCCTCAATCATCCGTAAATGGAAGAAGTTTGTTACCACCAGGAATCTTCCTAGAGTGGGCCGCCTTGCCAAAATGAGTGATGAAGGGAGAAGGGTCTTAGCCAGGGAGGTAACCAAGCACCCGATGGTCACTCTGAAAGAGCTCCAGTGTTTCTCTGTAGAGAGAGAAGAACCTTCCAGAAGAACAACCATTTCTGCAGCACTCCACCAATCAGGCCTGCATGGTAGAGTGGCCAGACGGAAGCCACTGCTCAGTAAAAGGCATATGGCAGCCCACCTGGAGTTTGCTAAAAGGCACCTGAGGGACTCTCAGACCATGAGAAACAAAACTCTGGTCTGATGAAACAAAGATTGAACTCTTTGGCCTGAATGCCAAGCGTCATGTCTGGAGGAAACCAGGCACCGCTCACCACCTGGCCAATACCATCCCTAGAGTGAAGCATGGTGGTGGCAGCATCATGCTGTGGGGATTTTTTTCAGCTGCAGGAACTGGGAGACTAGTCAGGATCGAAGGAAAGATGAATGCAGCAATGTACAGACACACCCTTGATAAAAACCTGTTCCAGAGTGCTCTGGACCTTCGACTGGGGCGACGGTTCATCTATCAACAGGACAACGACCCCAAGCACACAGCCCACATAACAAAGGAGTGGTTACGAGCCAACTCTGTGAATGTCCTAGAGTGGCCCAGCCAGAGCCCAGACTTGAACCCGATTGAACAAAGGCTGTGAATATTTATGTACATGTGTTTTTTTTTATTTTTTTATTTTAAATAAATTGCAGAGATTTCAAAACAAACTTTTTTCACATTGTCATTATGGGGTATTGTTTGTAGAATGTTGAGGGAAAAAAATTAATTTAATCCATTTTTGATTAAGGCTGAAACATAACAAAATGTGGCAAAAGTTAAGTGCTGTGAATACTTTCTGGATGCACTGTAGTGGTTTTGGAAGGATTGCCATTTTTACAGCGTTGATTCTGCCAATTCATGATAAGTGGTAGTGAGACCAGGACTTAAGTAAGGCTTTATTTTCAAATAGTTTTTATTGAAAATTTTTAAAGTCTTAAACAAACACGTTAATATCAAGATATAATCAAGTGCAAGGTTCACATAAATGAGATAACAGAAAATGAAATGAGAATGAGGTATTAAACCCCCACCATCAGGCTGGGAGTTCATTTATCATAATCATACCTATAAGAGAGGTATGTTCATTAGATTGCGAACCATCATAATGAATAGAAAAACGTGAGGGAATTAAACAGAGGGTGAAAACGGGTATAGAAAAGAGTGGAAGGGGGAAGAAGGGAAGAAGGGGCACCAATGTTCTGCAAATTCAGCATGTCATAAGGATAATGTTCGTAATCATGTAATTGAGCAATTGGGATGTGTTAGCCATCGAGACCAGTGTAGTGTGAATTTGTGGTAAGAAGAGTTTCGAAAGGCCGCTCTTCTTTCCATCTCACATTGCAAATTGAGGTCAGCAATGAGACGGGCTAGTAGAGGAGGTGACGTAGAGCGCCAAAGCCTCATAATGTTAGTCTTGGCTGCTGCTAGAATGTGTATGATAATGGTGCGTGAGCGCACAGGGAATTGTTCTATCGTTAGATGTAGAAGAGCTAATTCCGGGTTAAGAGTCGTAGGTGAGTCTGTGACTGAGGAGATCAATTGGAACACTTTGTTCCAATAAGATTTGAGGGACTTGCAAGACCATAGTACGTGAAAAAGTGAACCAGTTTCACCACATTGTCTCCAGCAAGTTTTTGGTTGCTGCGGATAATAGATGGATAATTTGGCAGGGGTCAAGTAGCATTGGTGGAGAATTTTTAAATATTATTCCCAGTGGGAGCTACATTTCGAAGCTTTGTATGTAGTGGCAAAAGTAATTTGCCATGATTGTGGGGTCCCTGGGGAGAGGAAGTTCTTCTCCCAATTAGTAAGGGATGATGAGTGGGTCGTGAAATATGCTTCAGTTAGTAATGTATAAAAGGTAGAGATCCCTTTCTTTGGATAATTGGTCTTGTGAAGGAAATGATGAGCAGTAGCTGGGAGGTTTATTTTAAGAGGGATATCCGTTTTATGAAGCAAATGGGATATTCGCATAAAAGTGAAGTGTTCCGTATTGGGAAGATGGAATTTTTCCTGAAGTGTCTGGAATGACTCGGGTTCATGGTTATCATAAATATCTTGGATATGACAAATACCCAACTTTATCCAGGATTTTAGATTTAAATTAGGGGATAGAAATTGCAGAGCGGAAATAGGAGTCGGGATTTGTAAGTTAGTTTTCTGTGACTGAGTGCATGTCAAGAGCTCATGCCAAGCTGTTGATGGGCCTGAATACATGGATGTGTGTGAGTATGTCCAATCTGTGTTGTGCGAGGCACGAAAAAGCAAATCTGTAAGGCCCCTTGGGATATCTGGAGGGCTCCATAATAGTCCAGATTTTTTCATGGGTAGACCAGTAGAAGAGCTGGTCAAGTAGGGCGCCTGAAATAAGATAAATGTGGGAGACAAAGGCGGGCGGATCAGAAGGTTTGATCTGGCTTTAGATTCCATAAAAATTTATTTAGAATTTTTTGCATTACGAAAAGAAAGAGGAGGGTATGGTACAGGTAATAAAGATATATAATATTAGAGATGAGCGAATTATTCAAAAATTCGATTCGGCTGATTCGCCGAATTTGCGGAATAAATCGATTCGATGCGAATTTATTCGCTGCGAATTTAACTTATTAAAAGGGTTTCTAGGCTTCAGAGAGCCTTTATATTAGTGCAGAACACTGTACCTTTAATTTAAATGCCCTTGGAGTCTGCTGGGGAAGAGAAATAATATGATATGACCTTTTTGATTAAAGAGAGAAATTCGATTAGTATTAAAGATAGGGAGACGTTTCTTGGAAATAGAAAGGCTCATTTGGGATTTGAAAATAATGTACCCTTTATTACTAATTATAATATGCAATACAAAAATATTGAACGAATTTTTAAAAAATATTGGCCCATTTTGTTAAAAGATGATATACTAAATAAATTCTTATCTAAAACTCCTAAATTCATTTATAAGAAAAATAAGTCTCTTAGGATGAAACTGGCTCGCAATGTCATCGAACCCCCAAAAAAGTTCGATCTGTTTCCAAATTTAAATGTTTTTTTTCCTTGTAGGAAGTGTAAAGTTTGTAGGACTGTAAAAGTTGGTAATAATAAAAAAAGAAAGTCATTCTGCTCTTCATTTTCCAAAAAAGAATATGATATTAAATCCCTGATTACATGCAATTCTACACATGTGATTTATGTTTTAGAATGTCCATGTCATTTGAGATATATTGGGAGAACTGGGAGATGTTTAAAAACAAGAATAGGCGAACATATAAGAAACATAGTAAAAGGATTTGATAAACATAGTGTATCCAAACATTTCAAATTGGTACATAATTGTGATCCAAGCTTACTTACCTTTTATGGGATCGAGATGGTAAAACCCCATTGGAGGGGCTCGGATTTGGTTAATGAGATTTCCAAAAAAGAGACGTTTTGGATTTATGAACTAAATTCCTTGCAACCATTTGGGTTAAATGTCGATATAGATTTGAATTGTTTTCTCACAAATTTTTTATTTTTAATTTTTATGTTATTTTAAGTATATTTTTATATAGGCAACTGTTTAAAGATGATATATGGGAGATTGTATGTTTTTTGTACAATTTTTGCATTATTTTTGTATTATTACTAGAGTTCCCCTTTATTTGTGTTGAAAGTGTTACTGGCCCTTTAAGTTCCCTTATTGAAACACAGTCTTAGAGGGTGCTGGCCCGTTAATGTATTTACTTATTTAATTTATTTATCATTAGTGTTTTATTTAAATTTCTTTTTATTCTATTTTTGTTCTCTTGTTTTAAAGTTTTTTTGCTTGTGATGGCAAATATATTGGATACATTATATATCCTTTGTGGACTCCTGTCATCTGTGGGGCGGCTTGCTTTGCTTGATTCCCCATTGATGTCAGCTGTTCGTTTCCTGTGAGTGAATATTTAAGGAGGTTGAGACGTCTCACATCTATCCGCTCCGTGAGGACGTCGATGACGAAACGCGTAGGGCGGAGCTTGATTGATGTGACGTCATTACGTTTTTGGCTGCCAGCTACTGCGCATGTGCTGAGTAGCCAGGCTCGTTTATGTGATTGCTGTTATGCTGTTGATTAGAGATGAGCGAATCGAACCAGGCGAACCGGAATTCGAGTCGAATTTCAGTCTGCACATACACTTTTTGCCGGCTTGGAATTATTCTTCTTTTCATCCTACTTCTTCTTCTTCTTCTTCTTCTTCTTCTTCATCCTCATCCTCATCCTCTTCTTCTGAGGATGAGGATGAAGAAGAAGAAGAAGCAGTAGGATGAAAATAAGAATAATTCCAAGCCGGCAAAAAGTGTATGTGCAGAGTTCCTCTATTCTGCAGATACACTTAGAGGAGCTCTGCACATACACTTTTTGCCTGTTTGGAATAATCTTATTTTCATCCTACTTCTTCTTTCTTCTTCTTCTTCTTCCTCATCCTCAGAAGAAGAAGAAGAGGATGAAGAAGAAGAAGAAGAAGAAGAAAGAAGAAGAAGAAGAAGTAGGATGAAAATAAGAATAATTGCAAGCCGGCAAAAAGTGTATGTGCAGAGTTCCTCTATTCTGCAGATACACTTAGAGGAGCTCTGCAGATACACTTAGAGGAGCTCTGCACATACACTTTTTGCCGGCTTGGAATTAATCTTATTTTCATCCTACTTCTTCTTCTTCTTCTTCTTCTTCATCATCCTCATCCTCAGAAGAAGAAGAAGAGGATGAGGATGAGGATGAAGAAGAAGAAGAAGAAGAAGAGGATGAAAATAAGAATAATTCCAAGCCGGCAAAAAGTGTATGTGCAGAGCTCCTCTAAGTGTATCTGCAGAGCTCCTCTAAGTGTATCTGCAGAATAGAGGAACTCTGCACATACACTTTTTGCCGGAAACCGCTGTAGACAGTTCTGGGACTGTCCTTCCATACAGCGGTTGAAACATTGTATCTATTTGTTTCCATTTGTTTCCATAAATGGATCCATTTATGGAAACAAATAGATACAATGTTTCAACCGCTGTATGGAAGGACAGTCCCAGAACTGTCATTAATAGTCTATTTCTGACAGTTCTATGACATTCCCTCCATACAGCGGTTGAAACAGCTGTATGGAGTGAATGTCCCAGAACTGTCAGAAATAGACTATTTTATGACAGTTCTGGGACATTCACTCCATACAGCGGTTGAAACATTGTATCTATTTTTTTCCATAAATGACATTCTGCAGATACACTTAGAGGAGCGCTGCAGATACACTACACTTTTTGCCGGCTTGGAATTATTCTTATTTTCATCCTACTTCTTCTTTTTCTTCTTATGATGAGATGAGGATGAAGAAGAAGAAGTAGGATGAAAATAAGATTAATTCCAAGCCGGCAAAAAGTGTATCTGCAGCGCTCCTCTAAGTGTATTTGCAGAATGTCATTTATGGAAAAAAAAAATACAATGTTTCAACCGCTGTATGGAAGGACAGTCCCAGAACTGTCATAAATAGTCTATTTCTGACAGTTCTGGGACATTCACTCCATACAGCTGTTTCAACAACCGCTGTATGGAGGGAATGTCATAGAACTGTCAGAAATAGACTATTAATGACAGTTCTGGGACTGTCCTTCCATACAGCGGTTGAAACATTGTATGTATTTGTTTCCATAAATGGATCCATTTATGGAAACAAATACATACAATGTTTCAACCTGTATGGAAGGACAGTCCCAGAACTGTCATTAATAGTCATTTCTGACAGTTCTATTTTCCCTCCATACAGCGGTTGAAACAGTTATGGAGTGAATGTCCCAGAACTGTCAGAAATAGACTATTTCCATCCATACAGCGGTTGAAACATTGTATCTAATTTTTTCCATAAATGACATTCTGACAGATACACTTAGAGGAGCTGCAGATACACTTTTTGCCGGCTTGGAATTATTCTTATTTTCATCCTACTTCTTCTTTTTCTTCTTATGAGGATGAGGATGATGAAGAAGAAGTAGGATGAAAATAAGATAATAATTCCAAGTCCGGCAAAAAGTGTATCTGCAGCGCTCCTCTAAGTGTATTTGTTTCCATAAATGTCATTTATGGAAAAAAATAGATACAATGTTTTTCAACCGCTGTATGGAAGGACAGTCCCAGAACTGTCATAAATAGTCTATTTCTGACAGTTCTGGGACATTCACTCCATACAGCTGTTTCAACCGCTGTATGGAGGGAATGTCATAGAACTGTCAGAAATAGACTATTAATGACAGTTCTGGGACTGTCCTTCCATACAGCGGTTGAAACATTGTATCTATTTGTTTTCCATAAATATCCATTTATGGAAACAAATACATACAATGTTTCAACCGCTGTATGGAAGGACAGTCCCAGAACTGTCATTAATAGTCTATTTCTGACAGTTCTATGACATTCCCTCCATACAGCGGTTGAAACAGCTGTATGGAGTGAATGTCCCAGAACTGTCAGAAATAGACTATTTATGACAGTTCTGGGACATTCACTCCATACAGCGGTTGAAACATTGTATCTATTTTTTTCCATAAATGACATTCTGCAGATACACTTAGAGGAGCGCTGCAGATACACTTTTTTGCCGGCTTGGAATTATTCTTATTTTCATCCTACTTCTTTTTCTTTTCTTCTTATGATGAGGATGAGATGAAGAAGAAGAAGTAGGATGAAAATAAGATTAATTCCAAGCCGGCAAAAAGTGTATCTGCAGCGCTCCTCTAAGTGTATTTGCAGAATGTCATTTATGGAAAAAAATAGATACAATGTTTCAACCGCTGTATGGAAGGACAGTCCCAGAACTGTCATAAATAGTCTATTTCTGACAGTTCTGGGACATTCACTCCATACAGCTGTTTCAAACCGCTGTATGGAGGGAATGTCATCAACTGTCAGAAATAGACTATTAATGACAGTTCTGGGACTGTCCTTCCTTCATACGCGTTGAAACATTGTATCTATTTGTTTCCATAAATGGATCCATTTATGGAAACAAATAGATACAATGTTTCAACAATGTTTCAACCGCTGTATGGAAGGACAGTCCCAGAACTGTCATTAATAGTCTATTTCTGACAGTTCTATGACATTCCCTCCATACAGCGGTTGAAACAGCTGTATGGAGTGAATGTCCCAGAACTGTCAGAAATAGACTATTTATGACAGTTCTGGGACATTCACTCCATACAGCGGTTGAAACATTGTATCTATTTTTTTTTCCATAAATGACATTCTGCAAATACACTTAGAGGAGCGCTGCAGATACACTTTTTTTGCCGGCTTGGAATTAATCTTATTTTCATCCTACTTCTTCTTCTTCATCCTCATCCTCATAAGAAGAAAAAGAAGAAGTAGGATGAAAATAAAAATAATTCCAAAGCCGGCAAAAAGTGTATCTGCAGCGCTCCTCTAAGTGTATCTGCAGAATGTCATTTATGGAAAAAAATAGATACAATGTTTCAACCGCTGTATGGAGTGAATGTCCCAGAACTGTCATAAATAGTCTATTTCTGACAGTTCTGGGACATTCACTCCATACAGCTGTTTCAACCGCTGGAGGGAATGTCATGGAACTGTCAGAAATAGACTATTAATGACAGTTCTGGGACTCTGACAGTTCCATTCCTATGACATTCCCTCCATACAGCGGTTGAAACAGCTGTATGGAGTGAATGTCCCAGAACTGTCAGAAATAGACTATTTCTGACAGTTCTGGGACAATCACTCCATACAGCTGTTTCAACCGCTGTATGGAGGGAATGTCATGGAACTGTCAGAAATAGACTATTAATGACAGTTCTGGGACAGTTCTGGGACTGTTTCCATTCCATACAGCGGTTGAAACATTGTATGTATTTGTTTCCATAAATGGATCCATTTATGGAAACAAATACATACAATGTTTCAAACCGCTGTATGGAAGGACAGTCCCAGAACTGTCATAAATAGTCTATTTCTGACAGTTCTGGGACATTCACTCCATACAGCTGTTTCAACCCGCTGTATGGAGGGAATGTCATAGAACTGTCAGAAATAGACTATTAATGACAGTTCTGGGACTGTCCTTCCATACAGCGGTTGAAACATTGTATGTATTTTTTGTTTCCATAAATGGATCCATTTATGGAAACAAATACATACAATGTTTCAACAACCGCTGCATGGAAGGACAGTCCCAGAACTGTCATCTAATAGTCTATTTCTGACAGTTCCATGACATTCCCTCCATACAGCGGTTGAAACAGCTGTATGGAGTGAATGTCCCAGAACTGTCAGAAATAGACAGAAACTGTCACAGAACTGTCTCTTCTTCTCATCCTCCTCTCTTCTCTTCTCATCTTCTCTCTCCTTCTTCTCATCCTTCTCATCTTCTCCTCTTCTTCTTCCTTCTCTCTTCTCTTCTCTTCTCCTTCTCTTCTCCTTCTCCTTCTTCTCATCCTTCTCCTTCTCTCCTTCTCCTCCTTCTTCTCATCTTCTCCTTCTTCTCTCTCTTCTCCTTCTTCTCATCCTTCTCTCTCTCTCCTTCTCTTCTCCTCTTCTCCTTCTTCTCTCTTCTCTTCTCTCTTCTTCTCATCCTTCTCCTTCTCTCATCTCCTCTCTCTCCTTCTCCTTCTCCTTCTTCTTCTCCTTCTCCTTCTCCTTCTTCTCATCCTTCTCCTTCTTCTTCTTCTCCTTCTCCTTCTCTCTCCTTCTCCTTCTCTTCTTCTCTCCTTCTCTTCTTCCTTCTCTTCTTCTCTCCTTCTTCTTCTCCTTCTCCTTCTCTCTTCTTCTCCTCCTTCTCCTTCTCTCATCTCTTCTCCTTCTCCTTCTTCTCATCTTCTCTCTCTCCTCTCTTCTCTTCTCCTCTCCTCCTCTTCTTCTCCTTCTCTTCTTCTCTCTTCTTCTCTCTCCTTCTTCTCCTTCTTCTCCTTCCTTCTCCTTCTCTTCTCCTTCTCCTTCTCTTCTTCTCCTTCTCTTCTCCTTCTCCTTCTTCTCCTTCTTCTCATCCTTCTCCTCTTCTCTTCTCCTTCTCCTTCTCTCTCCTTCTCTTCTCTCATCTTCTCCTTCTCCTCTTCTCCTTCTCCTTCTCCTCTCTCCTTCTCCTCTCTCCTTCTCCCTTCTCCTCTCTCTCTCTTCTTCTCCCTTCTCCTCTCTTCTCATCCTCTCCTCTCTCCTTCTTCTCTTCTCCTTCTCCTTCTCTCATCCTTCCTTCTCCTTCTTCTCATCTTCTCCTTCTCTCTTCTTCTCCTCTCTCCTCCTCCTCCTTCTCTTCTTCTCTCCTTCTCCCTCATTCTCTCCTTCCTTCTCTCCTCTTCTTCTCCTTCTCCTCTCTCTTCTCCTTCTCCTCCTTCTCCTTCTTCTTCTCCTCCTCTTCTCCTTCTCTTCTCTCTCTTCTCCTCCTTCTCCTTCTTCTCATCCTTCTTCTTCTCATCCTTCTCCTTCTCCTTCTTCTCATCTTCTCTCTCTTCTTCTCTCTTCTCCTTCTCTCTCTTCTTCTTCTCCTCTCTTCTCTTCCTTCTCTTCTTCTCTTCTCTCTCTCTCTCTCATCTCCTCTCTCCTTCTTCTCATCCTCTCCTTCTCCTCTCATCCTTCTCCTTCTCCTTCTCTCATCCTTCTCCTCTCCTTCTCCTTCTTCTTCTTCTTCTTCTCCTCTCTTCTCTTCTCTTCTCCTTCCTCTCTCTTCTTCTCATCTTCTCCTTCTTCTCCTCTCTCTTCTCCTTCTTCCTTCTTCTCATCCTTCTCTTCTCCTTCTCCTCTCTCATCCTTCTCCTCTCTCATCTCTTCTCCTTCTTCTCATCCTTCTCCTTCTCTTCCTTCCCTTCTTCTCCTCTTCTCTCTTCTTCTTCTCATCCTTCTCCTTCTCCTCTTCCTCTCCCTTCTTCTCCTTCTCTCTCCTTCTTCTCCTCTTCTCCTTCTTCTTCTTCTCTCCTCTCCTTCTCCTTCTCTCTCCTTCTCCTTCTCTTCTTCTCATCTTCTCCTCTCTCCTCTTCTCTCCTTCTCCTCTCTCTCCTTCTCATCTCCTTCTTCTCTCCTTCTCCTTCCTTCTCCTTCTCTCTCCTTCTTCTCCTTCTTCTCTCCTCTCTCCTTCCTTCTCCTCCTCTTCTCTTCCTTCCTTCTCCTTCTCCTCTCTCTCATCTTCTTCTCTCTTCCTTCTCCTTCTTCTCATCTCTTCTCCTTCTTCTCATCCTTCTCCTTCTCCTCTTCTCCTCTCTCTCTTCTCCTTCTCCTTCTCTCCTTCTCCTCTCCTCTCTCTCTTCTTCTCTTCTTCTCTTCTTCTCCTCCTCTCTCCTTCTCTTCTTCTCTCCTTCCTTCCTTCTCCTCCTCTCTCCTTCTTCTCATCTTCTCTTCTTCTCTCTCTCTCCTTCTTCTCATCTCTTCTCCTTCTCCTTCTCCTCTCCTTCTCTCCTCTCTCCTCCTTCTCTTCTTCTCATCCTCTTCTCTCTCTTCTCCTCCTCCTCCTCCTTCTCCTTCTTCTCATCTCTCTTCTCCTCTCCTCCTCTCTCTTCTTCCTCATCCTTCTCTCTCCTTCTCCTTCTCTTCTCATCCTTCTCCTTCTTCTCTCTCCTTCTCCTTCTTCTCTCCTTCTTCTCTCTTCTCTTCTTCTCTCCTCTTCTCTTCTCCTTCTCTCCTCTTCTCATCCTTCTCCTTCTCTCATCTTCTCCTTCTTCTCCTCTCTCTCTTCTTCTCCCTTCTCCTCCTTCTCCTTCTTCTTCTCCTTCTCCTTCTCCTCTCTTCATCCTTCTTCTCTCTCTTCTCCTCTCCTTCTCCTTCTCCTTCTCTCTCTCCTTCTCTCCCTCCTTCTTCTCCTCCTTCTCTCCTTCTCCTCTCCTTCTCTCTCCTCTCCTCTCCCTCCTTCTCATTCCTTCTCCTCTCTCTCTCCTCTCCTTCTCCTCCTCTCCTTCTCCTTCTCCTTCTCTCTTCTTCTTCTTCTCCTCCTCTCTTCCATCCTTCTCCTTCTTCATCCTTCTCCTTCTCTTCTTCTCATCTTCTCCTCTCTTCTCCTCTCCTTCTCCTTCTTCTCATCCTTCTCTTCTTCTTCTCATCTTCTCTCCTTCTCCTCTTCTCCTTCTCTTCTCCTTCTCCTCTCCTTCTTCTCATCTTCTCCTTCTTCTCTCCTCTCCTTCTTCTCTCCTCTCCTTCCTTCTCCTTCTCCTTCCTCTTCTCTCTCCTCTCCTTCTTCTCTCCTTCTCTCCTTCTCATCTTCTCCTCCTCCTCCTTCTCCTTCTTCTCCTTCTCCTTCTCCTCCCTTCTCTCTTCTTCTCATCTCTTCTCCTTCTTCTCATCCTTCTCCTTCTCCTTCTTCTTCTCCTTCTCTTCTTCTCTTCTTCTCTCCTTCTCCTTCTCTCATCCTTCTCCTTCTCCTTCTCTCTCCTTCTCTCCTTCTTCCTTCTCTCCTTCTCCTTCTCTCATCTTCTCTTCTTCTCCTTCTCCTTCTTCTCATCTTCTCCTTCTCCTTCTTCTCATCTTCTCCTCCTCCTCTCTCATCCTTCTCCTCTCTTCTCATCCTTCTCTTCCTTCTCCCTTCTCCTTCCTTCTTCATCCTCTCCTTCTCCTTCTCTCATCCTTCTCCTCTTCTCCTCTCCTTCTCTCTCCTTCTTCTTCTCCTTCTTCTCTTCTCCTTCTCTCCTTCTCTTCTCCTCCTTCTCCTTCTTCTCATCTCTCCTCTCCTCTTCTTCTCCTCTCCTTCTCCTTCTCCTTCTCTCCTCTTCTCTCCTCTCTTCTCTCTTCTCTTCTCCTCTTCTTCTTCCTTCTCCTTCTCTCTCCTTCCTTCTTCTCATCCTTCTCCTTCTCCTCCTCCTTCTCCTTCTCATCCTTCTCCTTCTTCTCATCTTCTCCTTCTTCTCATCCTTCTCCTCTCCTCTCCTTCCTTCTCTCCTCCTTCTCCTCCTTCTCATCCTTCTCCTTCTCCTTCTTCTCCTCCTTCTCCTCTCTTCTCATCCTTCTCTCTTCTCCTTCTCATCCTTCTCCTTCTTCTCATCTTCTTCTTCTTCTTCCTCTCCTTCTTTCTCCTTCTTCTCATCCTTCTTCTCATCCTTCTCCTTCTTCTCATCCTTCTTCTTCTTCTCATCTCCTTCTCCTTCTCCTCCTTCTTCTCATCCTTCTCCTTCTCTCCCTTCTCCTTCTCCTCTCCTCTCCTTCTTCTCATCCTTCTCCTTCTCTCTCTTCTCCTTCTCTTCTCCCTTCTTCTCATCCTTCTCCTTCTTCTCATCCTTCTCTCTTCTCTCCTTCTCCTCTTCTCATCCTTCTCCTTCTCCTTCTTCTTCATCCTTCTCTTCTTCTCATCCTTCTCCTTCTTCCTCCATCTCCTTCTTCTCATCCTTCTCCTTCTCTTCTCTCTCCTTCCTTCTCTTCTTCGCCTTCTTCGAATTTTCACACTGGAATTCGCCCGAATAATGAGCCGAATCGAATTTTTGAGAAGGATCGCTCATCTCTACTGTCTTGGCTTGTCGGCTGGGACACCTCTTGAGTAAGTGCAATGAGTACCTATAAAGGAATTGGGTTTTTATAATATTGCACCATGAAGTCTTTCTGTTTCTCTCGAGTGCTTGGCATTTCCCCCCATGGATACGTTTTGAAGGTGGAAGAAGATATCTATTGAGAAGTGGATTTTCGATTAACTACAAAGTTTTTTCATCCTGTTATTTCGATCGATGAGGATCGGTGTGTTTGCAGAGTTTCCGTTTCTGAAGATATATTTTATGGATGATCTGCCATTAATTATCAAGGTTTTTTGGTGAAATTTTTCATATTTATAGACATTTTTTTGCACAAAAGTTTTTTGCACTTAAAAGTTTTTTTTATCTTTTTTGTGGTATTGCATATATAAGGATTTTTTCTGGACTTATGATTTGATGATTTTGTCTTTATATATATTATATATATTTATACACATTTAAAAGAGCGCAAATTATTTATTTAAGAGAAATAATACTGTCAGTCAGTATGACATGCAGATGAGTGCCGTCGATCTTAGAATCACCGCACACCGTCTATTCACTCATTTGGGCAGTCACGGGGCCAAAACCAGAGTGTGGAGCCACAGTGTGGCGGTGGAGGCAGCAGCAATGGGAAAGCCATACAGCACCCTATGACAAAATGGAACCCACAGCAGTGTGAGGAACCTGAAAGTTGGCACATGGCAGAGAAGTGGCGATGGAGACAGCAGCAATGGGAGGCCGTACAAGGGACCCATGACACACTCTGGACCTGGCAGCAGCATGAGGAGGCGGTACAG